TAATCAATAACTCGACAAGCATTCGGGTGGTGGCCCGTGTCATTGGCCTTGTCCAGTCGCTGCAATGACGACAATAGTCGACCCATAACAATGTCTAAAAAACAGCGCGTGTCCTGTGCTTTGCCAATCCCAGTGCGTGGCTGTGATCAACATTGGCGGCATATAATTGGCTCCTGATCACGTGGCCGCTTGTTCCGGCCGCGAGTTTAGGGGGTGATCTTTGCTCGTTTTTCTTTAATTTTTGTCTGCGACTTTTATTGCGTGGGGTGAAAAACAAACACGTGCTTTATAGGCCATTAACGTCAGATATTTGTTCTAAGTAGCAAAGTACAAAACTCGTTGCATCACCCCTTTAATGATACCGACGCGCTGGGGTCGGCAAAGTAGAACACTCGTGCTGAGCTCCAGGCATTGTTGGAGTTCGGCTATTGAAAGCCGCTATAGTTATTACTCGAGTGTCCGCCGATGCATTGATTGTTACGACCCCAAGTCGAGTGCTCGCGCAGTTCTCGTGTTGAATTTATAAGCCACGCTCGACTGTCGTTAGGTGGGGGGTTTCGATGCAACAGTTGCGTCATAAAAGCTTTGCGAAGGTAAGACCGAAAGAAATAGTCCCCTTTTATCTTCGCAATTTCGCCGCGACTAAGAAGCTTCTGAATCAGTGGCGACCTGTGCGAACACACTTGAACCAGACTTGGACCAGTACGCCTCTGCAAAGTCGTTAACATTCCAACCCGACATCGTTTCATGACCCCTTTAAGATTAACTGCAGTTTAGGGCGCCAGCGTGCAACTCGGGTATAGTCGGTAGTAACTGCTAATCATACTTAAGCGTAACTACGGTTTAGGGTATCCGTCTGTCACCCTTGACCGGAGCTAAGTCTGATCTCAGTCACGCTTAACTGAGGTTGAAGGTATACCCTCGTGTAACTAGGATATGAGTGTGTTCTAGTGAGTCGGCATTTCCGTGTGACCCGAGTGAGTGAAAGCGATGTTTATTATATTTTTTTTTGGAAAAATCGACTGTTGCTTGTGCAACAGTCGATTTTTCGTGACCCTTTCGTCGATATAACACACTGGGGCCACCTACGGGTACCTCTGGAACACTTCCGACCTGCGTATGTATGTTTATAAATAGTTTTCTACGTATTATATTTTTAACCGGGGATTCGAACTATTTCTTCGTCGGAAAGCTAGCAGCATGGACTGGGCGCCTGGGAAGCACAGCCCGAACCTGGACTGGGTCGCCAGGGGGCAGTCTACTAAAACAAACAGAATGCGAGGCATCGATGACCCCGATTATACGAACAGAACTAACTGGCGACCGGCACGACCTTTCTTTGTTTCAAGAAGCGAGAGACGTCTTGAATCACTCCAGTAGACCGCACCCTGACGCTTCATTAGGGAGTTTTAGAATAACGTACGCAATTTTAGCGCGCGCTAGCGCTAAATTTAGCGCTTGCATTTGCGCGCGCGACGCAAGAGAGTTTTAGAATAGCGTTTCGCCGCAGCGACGCAAAAGCCCAAGCATCTCGCGCTTGCGACGCCACCAAGATACAGTAAAAAATTTTAGTTCACACACGAAATACTGTAAATTTAAAAGAAAAAAACGAGTTTTTTGGTCCAGAGTAGCATTTTAATTTGTTTAAACACGAGAATGCGACGCGAGCGGTTGACCGGTCGTGTCCGCTTGCGTCGCCTCGGCAAGAGAGGTCTCGTGTACTGACCTTCGTACATCGTTCCTTCGTCGTGAAATGTTCGCGCGTCGCAAGCATCAAGTTGCCGGTGATCGCTGCCAAACCGAGTACATTGTCGTCCCGTATTGAAAATTGCAGTCGCGAGGATGCCGCCGGCGTCGCACTCACGACGCCGCCAAAGCAGCCGCCGACATAATCCTGGAAGCCGCCATTTTTTTTAACTGTGCTCGTCTTGGCTTTAGCCAACTTCTCATCACGAATCCTCCTAGGAGAAGCGCAAAGACTCTTTGCGTACGCACGCTATTTCCGAGAAATAGCGCACGCTAAAATTGCGCACGCAAAGCGCAAAACCTGGTTTGCGTTCGGAGCATGCGCAGTGGCGACGACGCTATTCTTTGCGCACGCAAAGCTTTAGCGTGCGCTATTCTAAAACTCCCTATTATCTTCCCCTTTTGATTCATAATTGGCTCGTATTTAGCTTTAAAGGACTTGGAAGCGACGATGGCAGCCTTACCGATCCGACTCTTTGAATTGACCCAAACGATAGAGAAAAAAATACTCACCTTGAGAATCAAGTTATGGATATTTATCTTCATGTTTTATTTCATGTTTCACATAATAAGAAAGAAGTCAAAGACGAAAGGAGAAAAACTAGACACCACTATGCACGAAATAGTCCACTTTTTTCCTTTTCTTCGCACGCTACCACGTATTCTCGAATTGAGGACGAACTCGCCATACAATCAGTAATTTATTTTTTAAATATGTTTTCATTCTTTTTGAGATGACTATATTTTTCCGTGGTCGGTAACAGGCTACGAATTCAGAAGTTTCGGCTCCACTATGCGTTCGTTGCCTTTAGCTGGGCTTTGACTGCTTGAGCGACTACGGGTTATCGAGTGCAGAAAGCTCGCGCTACAGGCGGACCATTCACCATCATGATCCTGTCACGCATTATAGGTTATTTTTCGAACCACGTGCCTATTTCAGTAGACAAAGTGAAACACTTGTTTTTAAAACGGGAGCGCCGGTGCATCCCATCAGAAGACTTCAATAAGCTAAGAGGCATATGAGCGACGGCACGTGTCCACAAATGATGCGGTGGTAGTATAACGGGATACACATTAATATGGGAACATACAAGAGGGGTACGTTGAGGGTACTTAAGTTCTTCATGCCACGCAGCTTTAGGAAATTCTTCTTTTTGCCAACGAATTATTCGTTCAGTAAACGACGAGAGACGCAGTCGGTGTCTATTGTCGTGCCTTGTTCAACATGCAATGTCCTTCGTAAAATTCCCGTGCATCGCTAACGAAAAGCAAGTCCTCGAACCGTCGTCCGGTGGGGTACCTAAATATAGGACAAAGACCGACCGCTTTGTCGAGACATGCACAGGGACCGCTACGGAGAGGTCGATAATATAAGTAGCAGACGTCGCAGTCATTAGCAGTGACCTCTGAGCCACTTTTGTAACTTTGTTGTTTGGAGGAGCTGATGTCAAAGCCGATACTCATGCCGCCGTATTCAAGAGCCGTAATGTCTAAGCTAAATAGCACTTCGTATTTTTCGAGTTTTGTTCCTATTTTGGTATAACTTTCGACCTTCGATGCGCACGAAGCCGATACCAAAAACAGACCCAACCGTACGCAAGACCATTCTGGGCCGTCGCCAACACTATCAGATAAAAAAAAAATTTTTTTTATATATATATATATATAAAGACGTATACAAATGTTTCTAACGCGAAATTAGACAATTAGAGCGCAGCTCTTAAGGAGGAGGGGGGAGGGTAAGGAGGGAAGGGTAGGCCCCTCCTCCTCCTCCGTACCTCCCCCCCCCCTTCTCCTCCGCACGGAACGTCAATTTTCCAGCTAAATCTAGCGGAAAAACTGAATTTGTTCATAGGTGACGTGACACCAAGTAATGTGACGTCATTTTCCTCGCTAATGATTTAGCGGGGTATTGAATTCCTCTTGAGGTCGCGTTACGTTAATTTTCCCGCTTAATTTAGCGCGGTTACGCGGACACCGACGCCGCGAAACCCGGAGACGGGCGCCTAAAGTCTGATTCATATGGTACGAATTTGTTCGCGATTTCGCAGCTGCGGCTTTGTGCACCTCAGCTTCCAGAACGCTCATTTTTGCCGGACGAGCAACGTCGCAACTTCGAAATCGCAAGTAAAATCGCACCGTGTGAATCCGGCCTAAAAGCTGCGTTCTAGAATGACGTACCCACTGATCCCTGTAAGCGAACAGGTGTATCATTGCGGGTTCTGCAAGAGGCTTTGGTAAAATCTACTGATAATCCTTCATATATTTTCTGTAGTATTCGGGGACTTGGTTATTACAAGTTTATATTCACTTACTGTTTGAGAAACCAAGGGCGTGGTTAGTGCCAAGAGTCTTGTCCAATGAGGCGGCAGCATCAGCCAATAAGATCTCTGAGGGACGAATAATAAAGCAAGATGCGTGGTCATTATATGACATGCCCCCCGTTTCTTTAGTTGTCATTCACTATTAAAATGCAAGCGACATAACTTCCTTGAAGACCACTTGTGTAGGTAGCCATTCACTGTAATCTAGAATAGAAAGCTCGGCGATTGAACATGAAATGGACACTTGAAACGCACGTGCCAGTTATCAGTTTGAGATGTCAGTGTCAAAAAGGAAACTTTATTTTTAGGTCGATGTATTGTTTCTAAACATCAAAATTTGTTCAGATTTCGCTGTCGACGCCAGTGGTTGGTTGTGCGCGTACTCTTCGGGAAAGTAGAAGCACAAGTTATTATTCAACACTCGCGTTGGTTATGTAAAGGAGCGAGAATGTCCTCCGTGATCGTATTTTTGCTGTTTCATGAAGGGAATCTGCAACATTTTTGCCGACCTACAACACTGTAGCTGACAGCTTCTTGTGATTTACGACAAAAACCAGCTTAATGATGTTACAGTTTGTCAGAGGTTTACTTTCCGGAGAGGGAATTTTCAAGCAAACCTACTGTTATGAGCTCCTTCTAGGCCTCCATTTTATACGATCAATAATGTTTTTGAACATAATATAAAATATAATATGCAACTGCAAAATATAATACCACCATTTTAGGTGTGGCGAACTGCATTAACAAAGTCTTTCGATTACGCTCGAATCTTTGGATTACATCAGAATCTGAAACGACATGCAACTTATAAAACGAGTTTAAACAGTGCTCAAGACTAAGCCATTTGAGCAGCACCGGAGCCCGACATTTCTTTAAGAATTGCAGATTTGCCATAGTTGAAGTTGAACAAATATTTGCGCTTCCTTTCAGATGTCATGCCAGCCCAATATTAGAGGAAGTGATCCCGGCTAGCTACCACAAATCTGAAGCTCCCGTATCAAAAAATGGTGAGTAAAACCCCCCAAAAATTTACACCTTAAAGGCAAAATAATGATGGTCATTGATTTTAATATCACTTTCACCACGGACTTGATATCCACCCCTGAGTATGTCGACAAAATATCTATTAAAATAATACTTTTATTTGGAGAAAATGAATTTCTAGGTTTACGGGTACACCCCCCAATCACTGACTGCTACTCAACTGGCAACAACGAGCAGGCGCGCTCGTGATGTCAAATGTTGTGTCCGAGAGTAGACGAGAACTCCCTCCTCCACGAGGTTGTGCGGTAAGCGTCTGCGGTTTTACGGATTACGTCTGGTTTAGGCTGTTTGCGGCATGCGATAGAGGTTGGAGAGGAATTGATTGGGGACGTGCTGTGGGGTGAATAAGCACCAAGAAGAACTGCAACATAGTGGCTTCTTTCGAGCTTTCGAGTGTATAGGTCTGATAGAAAAACTAGAAAGGGAGGGGGCGTACTTTTGGCCATAAAAGACCATATACCATCACGGCTAATACCGCTTACCACTGACCTAGAAGTTGTTTGGGTGTATCTTTGCACAACGCCTCCCGTAATAATAAGTGTGTGTTACAGGCCGCCGGATAATAAAAGAGATTTTGTTATTGAACTGTATAAATGCGCCTTTCTGAACTCGCATGTAAATATCCTAACGCTTTAGTTACCCTTTTTGGTGATTTCAATTACCCAAATATTGACTGGTCAACTATTTGTTCTAGCTGTGCATTTTCTCAAGAGTTTATTGACCTTTGTTTAGATTTTAACCTATCTAATGTTATCACTCAACCTACTAGAATTACCAATCGCTGCAGCAACGTACTCGACCTATGTTTAAGCAATGACCTTTCTCTCTTCAGCAACGTCACATACTTACCCAGCATTAGCGACCACCTCGTCATTGAGCTAACATTCTCCATCACTACTCCTAAGAAATCACGTTATTGCAAATTCATTCACGATTATGCGAGAGCCGACTACGCATCTATCAACACCAACCTCGAAGAATTTTATCACATATTCTCAGTAAACTTCGCAGAAAGGACGGTCAATGAAAACTGGATTCTTTTCAAAGATAGACTAACATCCCTAATCAAACGTTTCGTTCCACTCACTCGAATTATATCCGATAACACTAACCCTTGGTACGATAAAACAGTTCATTGTCACTCCAACAGGAAAAAAAGAGCTTATACGAGGGCAAAGGATCATAACACTAACGCATCTTGGAACGCCTATCACGAATGCGCTAGGGCCTACAAATCCGCGATTCATGATGCCAAATCCAAATTTTATACTCATGACCTCCCCAACATTTTAACCAATAAACCTAAAAAGTTTTGGAAAGTAATTAACCCAGCACTCTCTCTTCCATTACAATTCGTTGACGAGTACGGCCTTCCACTTTCTGACGAACATAGTGCTCTTGAAACTAACAACTTTTTTAGCTCGATCTTTACCAATGAAGACTTGTCAAGTATGCCCAACTTGTGCCAACCCCTTCATCCTCCTATGAATCCTATCATGATCGACCGCTCTGGTGTACTGAAGGCCATTGATCAACTGAAGGTGTCTTCTAGCTCTGGTGACGACCAAATAAACTCGAAAATATTAATAAATACTAAACACGTCTCTTCAACTTTCCTCTGCGACATTTTCTCGCAGTCTCTTCAACTTTCTGAAATTCCATGCGATTGGAAAATCGCTAACGTCATCCCCGTTTACAAAGCAGGTGATCGCCAACTAATCAACAACTATCGCCCGATCTCGCTCACCAGTGTGTCGTCTAAACTCTTAGAGCATATACTCTATTCTAACATAATAAACTTTCTAGACTCCCACAGCCTTCTTTTCGAGCATCAGCACGGCTTTCGCAAGTCATACTCATGCGAAACGCAACTAACAGCTTTTCTTACTGACGTTTACTCAAACTTTGATTCTAATAAGCAAACTGACGCCATATTTATTGATTTCTCCAAGGCATTTGACAGGGTCCCTCATCAACGTCTCTTACTGAAACTTAGAAATATTAATATCCATCCCTCAGTCGTCAAATGGATCTCCGAATTCCTCACAAATCGCACCCAGTACTCATCTATTAACAACACCAAATTTACCACCTGCACTGTAACCTCCGGCGTCCCCCAGGGAACCGTTCTTGGCCCCATTCTATTTTTAATATACATTAATGATCTCTACCTCAACATCTCCTCTTCAATACGTCTCTTCGCCGACGACTGTGTAATTTATAGACCTATTAATTCAAACCACGATAATCAAATTTTGCAGAATGACCTCGCACTTATAACTCAGTGGTGCCACAAATGGCAAATGACTTTAAACTTTAATAAATGTAAATCTCTATCATTCACCCGCAGTTCACATGTTTCATCCTTTTCTTATCACCTTTTCACTATCCCAGTAGCTACCTGTTCCTCATATAAATACCTAGGCGTTCACCTGACCTCTGATCTGTCATGGACTACTCACATAAATGCTGTCACTGCCGATGCTAACCGTACTCTCGGATTTCTTCGCCGTAACCTAAGACTAGCTACACCTTCAGTAAAACTACTAGCTTATACGACCTTGGTCAGATCTAAACTTGAATTTGCTTCATCCATATGGTCACCATGGCAATCATATCTAACTAACAACCTTGAATCCGTTCGAAACAGAGGTCTTCGTTTTATTTACTCTGACTACTCCCCATTCACTAGCATATCAGGATTACGCAAATCAGCTAACCTTGACTTACTTTCTTTACGTCGAAGGGTGTCACGTCTCACTCTTCTTCACAAAATCTTTTACCACAACAACCATCTAAAAGATTCTCTACTATCACCTCCCTACCGTATTTTCCCTCGTTTTGACCACTCATGTAAACTGCGCTCAATTACTTCGTCATCTGTCTCCTATAAAATGTCGACTTTACCATCTGCTATTGACGATTGGAACTCATTACCTGACCTCATTGTAAACATGACTGATACTAACAAGTTTGCTGCAGCCGTTAACCTCTTTCTTTCTGAAATACAAGTATAGATTACAGCGTGTTTTTATTAACTATTTTTGTTGATGTTTTCAGTGTGTTCACTCCCTTGTATAATGCCCCCTGGGGCCCTCAAGGAAAATAAATGATGATGATGATGATGATGATCTTATCTGTTTCCAAGCGAAGAGTCCCTGCAGCCGACGTTCGTTCGAGCAGTCGGACTGCATCTAGGTCCAAGCGTCGGCGGATCGCGAATGCCGCTGCCACTGGTGATTCTCTTGCAGGCGATGCCGGCTGATTGAATGCGAACGGCAAATCGTCTAAAATCTCGTGCTAAAAATTAAAAGAAAAAACATTTGCTGCTTATTGCTTGACTTAGACAAGCTGGATGAATGGTAGTCCATTATTTCCCATGGACGATTGCGACCGCCCTCTGGGTGCTTCTGACGCTGGGCGAAACAGGCTCAAGCTGCCCATATGCTGATGTTTATACAACACGCCACAACAAGAAAGTAGACCAGTAAAGTGGCAGGTTAGTTTCGGTTTCGTTTTATATCGTATTTTTTCAATTAAGCAAAATTTTAAATATTTGTAAAAATTTTTATTTGCTGTCTTTGGCTCAGTCTCCTTACTTCAGAAAATACGTTTAGTTAAAAACGTTCAAATTGACACCCGAGCTCCTCGCTAGGTTGTGAAAAGGGCGTTCCACATACTCACACTCAAGGCCAACGTTACTGGAGCAAACTCAGTTTTACAGCTCCGCCTGCGACGTGGACTCAGTGGCGGTCACAAGAACTAGCAGCGCTGCAGTCGAGTCTTACTTCCGGATTGTCTAGCCCACCAATGTTTAACAGAAATACTTGAACTTGGGCGAGTTGGCGATTCATACTAACACTTCACAGCGCAAGGAAACAGACACACAAAAATAAATTTTAAACACTCAAAGACAGAACACTCACAATGAGTTGACTCTGATCTCTGTGGTGCATTACACTTCATCGTCATCATCTTTTTTTGTTGTTGTTATTGTCATACACGTGAAAACAACAAAAAAAAAAGAAAAGAAGAAAAAAAATAGAAAAGGGAGCTCTCAAAGCGGTGATAGCAGACGACGCGCGGGACAGGGAAGTAAGATCCGACTGCAGCGCCGCTAGTTCTCGTGAGCGCCACCTGGGCCACTCGCCTTCGCAGGCGAGAATAGGGAGCTGCGAAACTGAGCTTGCTCCAGTAACGTTGTTTAAGGCTATACCATTTCAGCACTTTTATTTAGAGTAATAATACTTTTTAATCATGCTGTTGAATGAAACGCCCTTCATTTTTGGAGGGTGTAAGAAATTGCGAGAGGTGTGCTACGGCGAAGTGAGGCAAACAGGCATTTCTAAGTCTGTTCAACCGCCTCAGACCGCTTTAGCGGGGTTCGTTTTATATACTGTGTCGAATAACAAATACCAGTTTCAATAAATTTCACTTAGAGATACATTTCTTCAACTTAGGTATATCACGCTTTGCGTGAAATGTCTATGAAAGATTTTGAACATAGCTGTTACCTTCGTATCTGATGGGGCGGTCATCGGTGAATGAGTGTTTTGAACTGTTAAACATATACGGCTGTGGAGCAGGCAAAAGGGTTTGATACCACCCGTTTGTCTTATTTACTGCGTCTGCACTTGCTTTAGTTTGTGCACGTAGGAACTGCATGGCATGCTTAATGCTTGCAAACTCGTTACTAATAGTAATAGCTCGAGGAGGCTACTAAGGCCGACAGGGTTCTACTTTTAGGGCACACTATAGAGAGCGTTGTCTGTTCGCTTCGCCTATCGGTACATGGCATCACAAATTCTAACCACCCCTAACTCGGTCATCTGCAAACACGTCCGCCGTCGATCATGGCAAGTCTGCTGGTCCACCACGACCGTCGATCATGGCAAACTTCTGACAGAAAGAGACCTACGCCTTTAAATTTGACCAGAAAAGCTGAACCACCTAAACGCATATTCGACGAAAGTGTGAGCTTCCTCTCTACAGGTGCCGATGTCTCCGCTTGTTTTTACCATATAAAGATCCATTCTGATATTCTACATATATCGGCCAGGAAAGCAAGACTATTTGTTTTGGAAAGTGTCAGCGTCCTACGTCTCTTTTACAGTGAAAACGGATGAAGGATACTGGCCAAATAGGGCTCCAAAGATAAAGGCAGTGCGAAATATCCAAGGACAAGTACGAAAACGGACGTACACAAAGCGCTGGTTTTCAACTGTCGTTCGCTTTTCTAGGAAACTCCACTATTTTGTTTCCGTACATCTGAAAGTGACAGCTAACTACAGCTAAGGATAAACCTGGTGTTCATGTTTGTCTTCTACTTGTTCCTGTGCTTTTCGCGCTTTTTTATTTTGTGAAGCACGTACAGACTTGCCTCACTCCAAACGTCGCTACAGGTACTTAACAAGTTGAAGCCGAAGCTTTTGCCTCTTAGATATGGTTTCTTTTGATCGTTTTGCAACTCGTAAGTGGCTGAGAAGGTTAAAGGATTACGGTGACGACTCGTGGTAGGGATGCTTTCTTGGTTTCGTTTATTCGAACTGCGCAACGGCGATAAACACCGAGATGAATGATCGGTTCGCACGGTCTCAGGGCAACGCACAAGTGATTGATTAAATTGAATAAATAAAAATGGGACACATTTTTTCTAACTGTGTTTCATGGGTGTATCAACTTGCGTTTGCCACGAGTGACTGAAAGACTGCACGTAAATATTATATGAAACTTTCTCACTTTCAGGAGGCCCTGTCAAGGTGTATGTGTCTTTCCAGGTCATGGACATCGATGACATCAGCGAAGAGAGCATGGTAGGTGCGCTGCTTCCGTAGCTCTGAGAGTTGTGAAATTATTCGTTCAGCCACTTATTCTCGTTGTGATTGTCTCAGTCTGAAAATACTAAAGATAAATTCAAGTTATCTGAAATAATTTAAACACGCTCTTCTCAATAAATCGTGTGCAGCAATCTCTGTGTGGGTGCATCTAATAGAACGTGGTCGAAGAAAATTTACGCGTGTTTTTTAGTCAAGGTGGTTGAAGTTCATATGTACACTTCTTGAGACAGTCACCACGAACAAGACGGAAGTCTGCTTTTCTGTACTGCTCAGGCACAGAATCAATCCGCACCAAATTTTACCTATTTTAGTAATCAAGATGGGCAACTTCCAATACAATGGTTAGCTTCAATGATAATTGTATTAGTGTTACGACAAAAAAAAAAAAAAAACTAAAAAGTACCCTCAATTGCTTTGGCGTTCTTACTGTGCAAAGCTTTTGCAGATGATTAATAACAAAGTGTAATTAAAATGTGCCCTCCAATCAAACGCCGCAAGAGAAAGTGAGTGTTATTTATTAGTTTCATTTTGCAAAATCTTTATGAGGACTGTAATTATGACCAGTAAAACAATTATAAAGGATAGAGTTCAACGTTTAAACATTTTACGGCTGGTCATGAAGTCTGCATATACAGGAGCGCTTTTTTCTATTTTCTTAAATTGTATTTTCCGTTTCGCTGTACAAATTTGTTCATATTTCTTCAAGTGACTGTCAATATAGAAGGCCAACAGTGTCACCATTTTTTAAAATAAACACACGAAGGTCGTAAATGCCGTTAGGAAGAACTTAAACGAACCTTATTGTGTGAGGCTGATGTTCGACATTTCGCTAAGCTATGCATCTTGGCGAAACATCGGCCTCCATTTTGACGCTTCCAGAGGACTCCGCTTCAGGATCTTTCCCTTATATCTAGCATCACATTCTGTCCTGGTTTTGACATCACTCAGTTGAACGAGGCTATCTTCCGCTAAATCTATTAACCTAGTGTTGCATGCCTTTGATTACACCTAGGCCTTTCGCCTGCACATGTTTGTGGTGGACTTGTGGAAGGACGACCGACTCAACCTCACAAGGTTTCTGCAAGACTCCGGGCCGAAGTCGTCGTCGCCGACGCCGGAGACACTGAGGGAAGGTGCTCGCAGAGGACGTCACGATCCTCGTGTGCTACCGGAAGAAGTCCGCGACGCCGTGTGGAAGCCAGACCTTATCTTCGTCAACTCCAAAAACGGATACTTGTTCGAACACTCGGTGCCCAACACCTTCCTCAAGGTCCTCAACACTGGACACATCTACAGGTCCTCGAGGTAGAATCCACCTTCTACTCACCTAAAACGAAATGAGCTCATATGTCCTAGATACACTTCAGCGACAAACAGCAATACCCGGAACCGACCAACTTCAAACACTCACAAATGGAGCACGTAAACTATCGCTTTTAAGGAAATTTAGACGGCCCGTAAAAATCGGTTTCTCAAGGTATCGCGCTGCAATTTACTACAAAGGTGCAAGCTGGGGTGTAAGTTTACACTGAAAAAATTGAACTACAAACATTGCTCTCTAAAAAACACACAAAAAAAACATGAATTTGTTTCGGACGATCTACGCCGCCACTTCGCACACGAGGCACGCGTATAGTTAGAAGTGTTGCCGAAAGATGGCGTACGCCATGTCGAGAAAATACTGGCCGATGCAGGTTCTTTTGCGGAATCGGCTGTCAAATAACCCAAATCGGCCGTGCGCCATCTGCCGGTAGCACTTCTTTATACTCGTGCATCGTCTACAAAGTGGGGGCGTAAATTGCCAAAAACACGATTCTGTTTTTTTTTTTTTTGAATGAGGTAAGTTTTTGTTTTTTACTATCTCCACTGTAAGCGTCTATTGCCGGTTTGCACCTCTGCAGTAAATCGCACCGCTAAACGTTGAGAAACCGATTTTTGCGTGCCATCTAAATTGCCGTAAAAGCGCTAGTTTACATGCTGTACATGCGAAAATATCTCTGGCAAGACTGCAATCTCTCGATGTTCATGAAGTAAGCACACGCTTATGTAAGCCCACCAAAAATACCGTCGCGTGCAAACCCACCGTGATAGTAACTAATCTCTGTAAAAAAAAAAAAAAGAAAAAAAAAAACAATTTTATTTTTTCGCGTGCATGACGCTGCCACAACTTTTGTTCACGGGAGGCATGTTGCAGTACACGAGACAGCTCGTGCTGTCTCGTGCTCAGCTCGTGCAAACCCGCAGCAGGGTTGTCGCAGGCGTAGAAAGGCCAAAGTTCCCTCTATGCACAACGGCACTGGCTGTGTAACGAAAACGACTGGTGAGATGGATCTATTGTTATTAGGGAGCTTTAGAGTAGAGGGCCTCAACGCTTAGAGGCACCCAACAGCTCGGGGCTTCGCACTGCTCTAGCGACACCCCCGAGCTGCTCAGGAGACCCTAAACTATTCCTTCACTTTCTATTGTTCACCGGAAAGAGGTCAGTAACTGACATGCTTTGTAACCTCATACCGTAGGAACGGACACGCTTAACTGCCGTTTCGCTTAACTACAGCTACCTCACTATGCTCTTGAGGAACCTTCTGTGGCTATGCACTCAAAGCTATGGGTGAATTTGCTCTGGCGCATCTTGAGCGCTCATCAAAGCTGCGCACGTCCACTCTTCATCCCTTCTGAATTAGTCGTCCGAGATTATTTTATGGGAACTGTGATTAAGCGTAACGGCAGTTAAGGGTGATTTAACTGCGGTTAAAAGGGTGCGCTTGTTATCAGTCGCCTTTCTATTGGAGCGTTTGTTAAATGGTGCGAAATACCTCCAGTAACCTCCCAGAAACGCAACTCATGGTCGTGTTGGTTGTGGTTGGCCTTAGAAGTGGCAGCATAACGCTAAAACGAGCCTTAGTGGCGCTGACATCGCCGTGCCACCGGCGTCTCAACACGTTGCTACCGGTGTTTCTATCCATTGGCAAGTTGGAAGGCGGGTTACAGCAGAACCAGAAGAAGGAATCTGGTGCAGACCTCTGTAGTCGTGTTTCCGCCAGGATCCCGGCCATATGGAACGTTGCTTAATTGTGACGCCACCAAGTAAAAAAAGGAGCCAAATAAGAAAGCGTTAGAAAAAACCAATGAGAGAAAGAGTATGGACAGCATAGTTAAAAAACAAAAGATAACTCCCTTTTGATATGAAGGTACATCGAGAGGAGTCGTATGTTCTCCGATTTCCACAGATCCTTTTTAAACAGGAGCGCCCCCGGTGTTTTCCGCCAGTCACATGAATTATAGCGTTGTTGAAAACCCTAAAATAGGCGATAGATACATCCCACGCCTCATCACGGCGCAACGAGGTGCTTGTTTTAGCATGTTTAGTTGGCCCATTTCTTACTTAGGTACAGTCGCGGACGATATGAAAAAGCCAAGGTTAGCCCGTGCCGTGCGAAACCTGTGGCCAGACCTATCAGAAGAAAGCCCGACAATTATCGAGTCTTCAGCGGCTGTTCAATTCTTGCTGTCACTCCTCAATATTCAACTAGGCTAAAGTTTAACCCACTGTGTCGAGAAGTTGAGTGGTAAGTTAACAGGCGTTTGATACGTTCGCGAGATAAATGACGATAAGCGGTATTTGTTTTATTTCGCCGGTCACTACTACCATCAATGTTTACTCAGCAATTGTTTCCCTGAAAAGTGGGGAGTTACGATAACAGTCGAAGTGTCGCCGAAATGGCGCTGGTTCACACACTAAACTCAATGATAACTCATCATTCCCCCGTTAGATGACACTAATTGTCTTCGTAGTTACGGGCTTGCTTGGGCTTTTTCATATCCTATACGGCTGTGCGTGCCAACTTTTCAAATCACAGTTCATATTCTCTAAACGGTCTATTTAATTATAAAACCTCCAAAGATATGTTATTTTATTCAAACCGTGCCCTCAGTAGCCAAAATATACAAATCTTTTTTGCTTCGGTATTTAAGGTTGTTTTTTTTTCTTCATAGGGAAATACTTGGTAAGTTAGTCAACTGGTATCGTAATCCTAATAAAGGCCAATGGGGATACTCATTTTTATTGCCAACTGCCGCGTTCTTTTGTGTGGCGTGTGCACCGCTCATTCCTTGAAGCGGCTACATCACGAGTGCCGCATTGCGGAACTTCCTCGCACTATTAGGCGCGTGGAAGTCATAAAACCCTATATAGGTTAGGACATTTTTTTTCTGCAAGGTAATAATCCAGTGCGATAGTTACCTCTTCGGTAAGCGAGTGAAGCACGCTCCAAAAGGGTCGGCGCTATAAATAGTTGTGGTCGAAAGCTAGAGGTGAAATGCAAAGAGCGAAATGTGATTCTTCGCGTATCACGCGAAAACGTAGTTCGCGCATCACGCGAAAACCTATATTTAACGGTAACGAATCTCATTACGCAAAACTGCACTCCACGGGAGATGGTGGCTGAAATGTTGTCCGACTTCCAGGTTGATATTTTATACACTATCGTAGAGAGGAAAAGTCGTCGGAATTTGTTAGATGTCAAGGTTAAAGCAACTGAAATTTATGTTGGCTAGAGTAGGGTATGGAAACCTTCTATATCTGTTTGCCATATGCTTGGGATTCGATAGCGGTTTGTGAATTTCTGGCACTTTATAAGTCGTGAGTAGTACATTTTTCTCATATCATCTACTACATTTCTTTACCCGCTACCACGGTTAGTTCAGTGAAACTTTATTCAGCTAAAACGCCAAAGAAACACCTATTTTGGCAAAAGCTTGACATTCTCAGGGGCTCAACTTGGGCCTAACACGGTTTCGGTATACAGCTTTAGTTTTTTCCAGAGTATTTTGCTTTGGTGTTTGCATGGCGTTTTTAGGCTCGCCGCCTAACTGCCAAAGAGTCAGGGCCGAGCCCAATATACCACGTATGCACCTAAGAATTAGCAGCGAAGTCTACTTGTTGGGCAAATTAAAGCCAAGTTACCCAGGCTCTGGCCAAAAAGGTCAAGATCGGCTGTACCTCGGCTTCTTCCAAGACTTTTGAGGCCTTAACTTTACAGAAAACGACATTGGACCAAAGGAGTCTGGTATCTGGGCAACTTTAATTTGAAACTAGAAAACTGACCATCACAAACTGTAGCTTATATTTTCTGTGGGAGAGCATTCCAAATTGAAGTCTAAGTGACTTTGCGGAACCCAATAAATTACGCGTCACATGCAGGATCGAAGACTCTCCTCCATCCCCCCTCTTCGACCTGTTGTGAAGGTGTCAATCTAAGGGTACTCTCTCATCGGGGATTGACGAGTGGCGTGACAATTTAAATTGATACACGCTCGCTTAACGCCAGTACAGTGATGTTATGTGCTTGTGTCGTAGACGAGATACTGGGAAGAGAAATACATTTTTTTGGGGGTAGCACTCACTTCAACGTTAGTAACAAGTTGTTTTAGGGCAATCGTATAATCGCACGAGGCTTCCGGGGGCTTCCAGCTTGTCATTTATCCCATCATTTTAATCACGCTCAACATGCGTAAAGCTTATACAATCTTGTGCGCAACAAAGACGAGGACAAAAGCAGAGAAGAGGACACAACAAGTCGCACGTACGTGCGCCTTGTTGTGTCCTCTTCTCTGCTTTTGTCCTCGTCTTTGTTGCGCACAAGATTGTATAAGATGTCAAACCAACTCGCCCAAACAACCACTTTTCATGCGTAAAGCGCTACAAGGAAAGAATCTTACAATATTTTTCTTTTGTACGGTAGCTCAGGCCACTTATTGTAAGAGGCGCGAACTCGCCTGGACAGTAAATTTATTCGGGCATTGTGTTACTGTAACAAAAAGCTGGGACCAGTTTTTGTGGCGCCTATATTGACTCTTTTCGAAACTTTGTCGAGCAATATTAGTGGTCACCATATCTGTGGCACGATGCGTCTGATTGGATCCGAGTCCTTGCCGAACGCTGACGTCATCATTGTGTCCAATACGTGCGCAGAGTACGAGCCCAAAACATGGCTGACAGGAATAATTGTCGCAGCAGCTACTTGATAATAATAATAATAATAATAATAATAATAATAATAATAATAATAATAATAATAACTTTATTCACCATATCACATATGGTGGGAGCTGGAGGAAAAAGCTGACAAAGCAGCTTGAAGGGTCTCCAGCCCCCTGAACAGGTACACAGCGGGGCCAAGTTACATACAAGCAAGAAAAAAAAGCAACAGCAAAATAAACAGAAACAACCACAAAACGCTGTTATGGTAAAACAAAAAGAAGATAACTAACAGGCCGTCAACTTCACAAAAAAAATATTGCATGAAGACTAGACAACTGATAAACAACATATTTATATAAAAAGTAGATAGTCACGTAACTCACGCGGGCTAGAAGATAATATATCAATATTTGAATTCAGGAAAGTGTTTAGTAACGTTGGAAGTGTATTTCTAATCATCTGGAGACCGTAATTTGTACGCGATGCACCAACCATCCAGAAATCTGAGTGGCGAGTAGAATGTGTAAGCTGTTTTTTCCTAAGGGATGCCAAGCTTAGCAGGAAGCTATCTATCACAGAATATTCTTGTTTATACTTCATGATAAGCCTGTATTAATATTGTTGATGTATTTTAAGTAGCCCGAGTTTTTCAAAAATGTGGTCCGTGTGAAAAAGATAAGGCACGTCACACACGAGTCTTAACGCTCTCTTTTGCAGTATGAATATTCTATGTAAATTTGTTTTAGTAGTGGTACCCCATACCAAATGACAATGGCACGCCCGTTTGAAAACGGTATATTTAAATATTCCGTCTTCGCAGCAGCAAACAATATTTTGCTGGTTACATTCGCGGGGTTCATTTACTGTTCTATTTGAATACCTTGAGGTAGTGTTTCGGGATATTACACTAAAAGGGTTAAAAAAAACTGTAATGAACACATAACAAAAACAGTAAGAAGAAGGCCTTTACCGGCATACAATTGAGACAATAGGGACCTTCAGCAAACCGTTGCAGTGCTCCGCGTACCGCACACCGGAGCCTTTGAAGCATGCTTTCATGCGCGCGCTCGGGTGGCACCGTGACCTTCAAAGGCTCCGGTAGTGCGGCACGCGGAGCACGGCAACGGTTTACTTAAGGTACTTCTTAACCAAATTTACACTTCTCGTTGCGATTTAAGTCTAATTACTACAGTGATGAAAGTGAGCATTTAATGAAATTTAGCGTTGTCAGTTTCTGTAACACTCATATATGGCAGAAGATTCCATTCCGCAATCGCAAGCCTGTTGAATAGCGCTGAATTGTATTCACGGTGTCACTAATCATTTTAGAAAATTGCATAAAATTTTTGGTTCCGTAGGCTTCCATGTGCCGTGGTTATCGTATAAGACAACTTCAACTGATGCGCTGCACATAGCGTACTTGTGCACAGCGAAGCGCTCTGCATTTTTGTTTTCGGTGGAGCACTCAGTCTGCGTGGCTTAGATATTTATGCTTTGTTTTCATCTTGTGTGCTGAATGTCGAAGGTATCTCTTCCAAGTGGACTGCCTGATGGAACTCCAAAAGTATCCCATGGACACCCAGAACTGTTACCTCAAGGTCGGACTCAGTAAGTCAATCTTCGTAAGTTCTCAAATCGAGATGTCGAGTGGCACCGTTTTGTAGCCCAGTCTTGCCGGAAGCAACGATACCTATATAAATAAGCTTGATAAACCTTTAAACTCAAATAGGAACGCGACGAAGGGGACATGAACGGGGGCTTGTCCGCATCCTCTTATTTATGTTCGGCCCTGCTGCGCCAACGTTTCTTGAGCATCATGTACTAACTAGCTCTGCAAAAGTCTTGCAAACTGAGTAAGCTCGGCTCATTTAAGTAACTTTCAAGGGGTAATGATCCACTAATTGACAACGCCTTTATTAAGTTCCTCGCTTAATACATGCCCAAGAGTGCTCTTTAAGAAAGCAAAACGCTAAAAAAAACATTATGCCTACTGGACTCCAGGTTACTACGTCTACGCAAAATGCCTGGAGCCATCAACCGGGTACAATTCTTACCGCCAGTAGAACTAAAGTAAAGCATCTACAGTCTCAGGTTGAAAACCTAGGGCCCATTGAACCTGCTTCGGCATTACAACTCCTTTCTGACATTGCATCCTTCGCAAATTGATTGTACTACAAGAAATGACATACATTTTTGTGCTGTACCAAGCAGGAAGATAGGTTTTGAATTATTATCACCTCTTGTTGATTTTTTTTCTTGGCACACTTTAACATGAACGCGCCACACATATATTAACATGACACTGAGCAGAGGTCCTCATGAGACAAAGCCGTGTTTCAAACAGAAGGTATAAAAAAAGACCTTCCAGAGAAACAAGTCAAAAAGTTTTTCATCCCAGAAAAATATTGAAACCTGAACCTAATCCAAATGCATTCTATACTTTAGATCTGTTTTTACTCTGGAGTGTTAAAAAATCAAACAAACAAGCAAACATACAGGCCACTCGTACGCACGCAATATCAGGGGTTGTTTCCAGAAAGAGTAATAGTATATGGATAACCCAGACATTTCACATTAATCACCGTGAGCTGTTGCAGTACCCGTGCAGCCAGAAGGAGCATTAGATCTAGTGCACGAACATCGCATAACGATCGTCCAGTCCCTTGCGACTGGTTTTCTTCGTAAACAATGCACGCCAAAGTCTTCGGTTGGTCCTGCAGAGCGGCTCGTCTTACGTCTACCGGATGACGACTGCCTTTTGTTTGTATTGCGGACGAGACTCCTGCGATATCGATCGTCCAGCCCCTAATGATAGTCGATATCGAAAATTAATAGAAGCATATACGCTGATGACACGACGGCGCTTCGCGAAGCACGGGGAGAGAGGGACCTTGGCGAAGTTCGTGTCCATGGCGCGCAATCGAACGACAATGGGAAAGAAATGATGTGAGAATGAAAGAGATGAAGAGAGACACACATATGCGCACGCGGAGTGAGAGGGGGAAGGGGGGGACGGGGGAGGGGGCACATAAACAAAGATAAGGGTCCATTCACTGAGCAAACGGACCTTCGTGAAACATGCATGTGTTTCCAGTCGCGTGTGGCACCCAGCAGGCGTGTGTTCTTGCACGTGGCAAGGTTGCCAGCTGCTTTTTTTAGCTCTTTCTACAACGGCGGCGGGACACGACAGGACAAGGTCGTTTCAACGATTTCCGTGTTCTGAATGGACACATGTGTGACCGGGTGATGTTTTACATTTGCTAATTAGTTAGAAGCTCAGCCTCACGCATGACGTGCGTGAATGCAATGAATGGGTGTCTGTGGGGCCGAGAGATACGCAGATATAACATTTAAAGACTATTTTATTTTGTTACGTTCATTACTGGGTCCACACCTGGTGGTGGGGATGTCACTGCCATTACCGATGTTACCACTATAACCGCTAAGTAGCTTTCGCACTATAACCACGTAGTAGTTTTCGCTGGAAGAAAAAAAAAAGGGAGTTTTGAGCAATTGTTCATACGCCGTTCGAAGGATTTCTGATAAGATTTGGTTGTCTGAGGGAGAAGCGATGCTATTGGCATTTGACGCGTGTACGTCTTGATAATATAACATATATCTAATCTAAACTGCACCTACACACATGTCAGTTCTCTACGAAAAATAGGAATTAGTAATGCACTACGAGGCGTCGGACTTTTTTTAACTACGGGTATTGAGGTGAAACCGAGTGTAGCTTTGCCACCCCCACTGACATTACTATCTTTTAATTTATTTCACTTTTTTATCTTTAGTAGTAATCAAGGTGGTTCCCAGGCCAATTGCTTTAAGTATTTGACGAAAAGCGATCATGCATAATAATAAAAAAAAGCTTGGTACTCAAGACTCAGAAGTCGCATATGAAAATATTGTTGAAGCTCGTCATTTTTCCAGTTCCAAGCTCAAAGAGGTTTGTTTCAACACCTGTCGAAAAGTACAGTTCTTTTAGGGGCCGTCACGAACATGAATGCCATGTATACGATGTGTGAGCCCCCGTCACATCATTCAGCAAGGTTAGGTAAATAATCCAACAGAGAAAAAAGTAACGCGACAAGCATAAACTAGACATCCAAATGTGCTACATCAATAACAAAAGAAAATACTGCACAAAGAAATGAAACCAGGGAATCGAAGCAAAACACCGAGGTCGCCACTTTTTGGTCAACGAAGTTTGAGCATGCTTTGGCACGAGTGCTGTATTAGTGTTTTGTCCGAACTTTGGTCCAAATGTATGTGCAGCGCGAATTCGTCTGCTTCATGCGCAGGGGTTGCGATGACGTCAAAACTGTGATTGGCTCGGATTGGAAGGATAATTGGCAGACCTCAAGGCAGCTAACATTGAGGTCTACCCACTGTCCTTCCAATCAGAGCCAATCACAGCTCGGCGTTATGACGCCACAGCCGCCCCCCCCCCCCCCCCCCCCCCCGCGAGAAGCAGGCGAACTTCCGTTTCTCATTGGACACGAGAGCTACTTCAGCGCTCGGCGTGTACTCGTGTCCAATCACAGGCTTCGCGCAGAAAGCAATGCTCAAAAGATGGCGGCCACCAGTGTGGCCTGCCAGACTTTTCAAAAGCGTCTACCGTCTTGCGAACTGCACGTAAGGAGTGGCCTGTCTGACGTCAAATGCGACTGATTCGCACTTATTATTGTTCCAGTGTCGACGCCCGAAGACCTGGCTACGTTACATTGGATGGATGACGAGTCGAGCCCGCAGAGGAACTTTTCGACGGCCATTCGTCTCCTAGAAGACATCAAACCTTTACAGTTCTTCTTGGACGTTCCTGTTACGCATTCGGCAACAGAAGCCTGGATGTTTGGTGGGTGACAGTGTTTTCTTGATGCCGTCCGCTTTGACCCACCTCGCGACCACGGGGCAGCACGCGAGGTCCGACTTCAATGCGATCGCATTTACATGGAGCACTTCAAGTCGTGCGCCCACTACACCGAGTGATCGACTTTCTCGCACGATAAACGAATATCGTGGAGAAAATAATAAGCAATTTTATCTTTATAGATATACATTACACGGTTAGGGCTTTAATTTATTTTCCGGCGGAACGTATCAATATAATAATAAAAAAAAATCTCTCTAGGTTTTGAAGATTTCACTCGAAGCATCCGCTTGCAATACATAAACGAAAATGAACAATTCCCGTGATTTTACACATTGTATTGAGGAGAATTTCAACACCAGAATTCAAGACATTAGACGCAGATTTACTTGGGCTTCCCCACACGTAAAAGTTCCCAAATACACCGTTTTGCCATCGTCGCGTATTTGCTATCTGAAGGTCTGGAGCGGATATGAGACAAAAATTGACTAAAAAAAATCGCTCCGGTGAAAGAAAAAAATAGAATAAATAAATAAATATATATATTGTAGCAGATGTCAGATTCAGTGATGGGGTTTATTATTCACACTTGCATTGAAGGTAGAATTCAGGATGACCGCCCGGTATATATTGCCGCTCGCTCAGTCTGATCTTCTGTCTGCCCTTCCCCCAGTACGGCGCGTCCCCGAAGGCTCGTGCCGCCTCTCTTCGTCACAACATATCTCTTTCTCTCTTTTTATATATATATATACACTGTAAAACCCTTAATGTTCGCGAGCCCTCAATTTTCGCGAATTTCACGAATTGAAAAATTCGTGAAATTTAAGAGCGAGCGAAAATTTCGGTCCTTAAGATTTTCACCGCAGGCGTCTGGAATTCGCGAAATTTAGCGGTCGCGATTATGTCATCTGTGACCGATTCGCGAAAAATAGGGGCCGCGAAAATAAAGGGTTTTACAGTATATATATTTGACTGCGCGTGAATCGTAAATATTGCTCTGTTAAAAGCACATTTGCGATATATGTACGAAAAATATACACGCGAGATAGGTTCTGACAGAATAGTGTGAATCTAATTGTGAATATTCGCAATTTCTTATAATTTTTGGCTAGTTCTTTTGCACGAGTATACCTCCTCGTCGTTTCAGTCATTACAAAGTGTGGTCTTCCTTGCCTCATCGTCCGCCGCACTCCGTTCTTAATTGTAGTGGCTGAGGGTTTTGCCATAATGTAGGCGTGCAAACATTTTTCATGATTCATTGGCCCTATCGCCTCGTGGTATCAGCGAAGGTTATTCTTAAGGTGAAACAAATTAAGGAATGTAGAGTGACAAGCGTGTTAGTTGAGGTCAAGAACGCCGAAAAAGTAAGACAAAGGTGGGACGAGGGACTGCATACACTTTATTTCAATAAGCAACAGTACAATAAGGACACGGCGATCTTTTTTGGAATCACCCCACTGTCAAAAAAGAAAGAAAAGGATAATTACTTTTGCTAGTTGAAAGAAAGTGTACGCCGGCTTTCGTCCCACCCGCGTCTTATTCTTTCGGGGTTCCGTGAAGTATGGATTTTTTTCCCCCTTCATATATACGGTTGTCTGAGCCGCAACTTCCGGATACTACTGTCTTCGCCTTCCTCTCCAGTAGCATTCGTAATGTTTTATATCGATTTTTTGGTTATAAATAAATGGCGTAACCAGATGCCATATCGATAATGGGCATTCTGCGAAAAACTTTTATCAAACTACGTAAGCATATTTTCTTAATTTTTTTTTAACTAGCCATCTTGTTTCGCTCACTATTCGTTGTGTTTGGTTGTTTTGTCCGCAGAGAACTATACGTACCTGTACGCAAACTTCACTTTCGTGCGCCGCCTGACGGCGTCCATTGTAAACACGTACATTCCGAGTGGTCTCGTGGTGGCCCTGTCTTGGCTCACCTTCTGGCTTGACGTGTCCGCCGTTCCGGCACGCATCACCCTGGGAGTCACCTCCATCCTCACTCTGGCGACTCAGGTGGGGAAATTATCCACTGCTGCTATCAAAGGGCACGTATAAAACACTCCGCCATGGAAATAAAAGGAAGATTACGGCTTAAACAAAATTAACGTGAAAAATGTTCTGGCTTTTTTTTTGGTGAGACTCCTGTAATTGTTCCAAAAGAACTAAGTGTAAACGTAAATACAAAAGAGAAAGGTGTGAAGACTGTCACAGTTCGAATAGATAAAAGTAAAAGGAGGAGCGAGCGGAACGGCCTTTCAATGTGCTTTTATTTAGATATCTAAACACGTTAACAGGGTCTCACGCGTTTAAATATTTATGTATAACGTATTCATTTTTAAAGTTTATCTCGTAAGTTTCAGTTTTTTTTTGTATATTATGTAGTCCTCCCGATATGCGAGTTATCGTTTACTTTGTTTTGCGAAACTTCAATCTAGCTAGATGAGAACCCGAGAAAAAAAAAAAAAACATTTTACGAACTTACGTCGATATAAATATACTAGAGGCCTTGTAATAGTGACGGCTTTGCGTTCGGTTTTAATCTTTTGAATCTTTGATGCGTGAGGCGGTGGTAAACAAATCTGTTTTATTCGTTGTGAGGTTCTCTTAGGTATTTTTCACCACTCCCTGGCAGGTACACATCGCTCCGCTGTTAGCGCGAACACGACATCGGCGCATTTTCGCATTTTACTTCTAAATAATAATAGCGAGCACCAAATTTCATCACTTACATTATAGAACTAAATTAGCTCTTTCCGTAGCAATAATAACTTGGATGACATTCCTCGGTTTCAAAAAGAAAAACTGGAGAAACCAGCTATCGCGTGTTCGTGCTAACAGTGCCGCGCTCTGTACGTAGAGGTAGTTTAGGAGCGTACGTAACAAATAATTTTTAAAATGAAGCACGTCATGACGAACTTTGTCCAGGTAGTACAGTCAAGGAGTTCCCTTCCACCCGTGGACTACATCAAGGCCGTAGACGTGTGGTTATTCGTCTGCCTCGTCATGGTCTTCGCGTCACTCCTTGAGTACGCCGTAGCATACAACCTGGAGAAGATTCTCGCCATGGTTTGTGTCCTCTCTATTCTTAAATACTCTAACGAAAACCCCTAAGGTTATTTATTGCCTTGTAGAACTTACCCGAGGGTGTGGGGACTGCCCGGATGTGTGAGAGCTGGTAACAAGTAAATTATTCTAGATTCAGAACCACAAGGCGATGGCCTGTTGGTCAATTATTTAGTACCTCAAATACATGTAAGTAAGGATTAGAGATAGGCATCTACTTCTTTTATACTATAACCTATCTCTTCTTTAAATAAACAAGATGTTTGCGAATGTGGGATTTATACTATGAGTTTGTGTACACCGTCTCACCAGATCTTGTAAGATTATGTTATATTTCACAGGGTCTTTCAGATTGTTCTTCTGTTAGGGTGGTAGTCGCTATCTTGCAAACAAAAAGACAACCTATTAGCACTATAGTAGTTAAGAACTTGTGGGGGAAACAACCTCCGACGCTGGCTAGAATAACTACAAAAACATGCACTTCAAAGAAGCATTGGCTTCTTTCTATGCGTCTAAATAAAGTAGCAAAAGGTAATGATTTCGAGCTTATTTTAGTTGGACATACTAGAATCTTGTACGATGGTGTCTATGGCAGTGCTTTTGGTACATCATTTCAGGGCTTCCACTCAGACGTGCCCTATTTGCCTAGTCTAGACACAACATCGTCATGTTCGACAACGTTTTTTTTTTTGTTTTTTTTTCTAATTGAATTTATATGAGAATGCCAACCATTTCCGGTGGAAGTTAAAAATCACCGCATTTTTGTTAACAAGATAAAAAAAAAATCTGATGTCGGTGAGTGTTACCCAGAGCTGTTCTCCGCTCGTTTCGAAACTTATAACATCGTTATATGTTTCCCCAAGTGGCACAGTTTTTTGGACCAAAATTTAGTTTTTCTTTTAAAATTCAGAGCTTCAAAAAGCCTAAAGAAGCCAAGGGCGGGCCAAACTTTACCTTTTTTTTTTTTTTGCCGGAGCTTGGGTATCTCGGTTTTATTTTGCAAAACTGAGGCCAAAGTTAGGCCTAACTGCAAGTAGTTCGGTTTTCATTTGGCATGTTTGATCCTGAAACCGCAAAATAAGTGAGTGCCTGAGTCGGATCGCGTTTCTGTTTGTTCTGTTTTAATTTTGCAACATCGGGCCTAAATTGCATAACAAGTGCTAGATTTAGACTTTGCTGTCGCTTCTTCTATTCAAACACGGAACCTTTGGTTCAAGTCTGGCACTTCGGCGAATAGGTGGTGAGCCAGAGAAAACACCCAGAAACGCCGAGAAAATGTATTCTGCTACTATACCTAACGCCTAGGAGCAAATCCGTACTGATTCCTTTCTCTCTTTGGCATGCTACATGGCTTGCCAGGTTTTAATGAAATTCGCTGCCTCCGCGCAACCTTCCATCGCAGGAACGGAAGCGCAAGCCAGAACCTCAACGGACAGCAATTCACGTGACGCCGTCGTCACGCGTGACACCTAGCGCCTGGCAGCGTGACAACGTAGGCCCGACACAAAACTCGATCAACCATGTCCCAGCAACCCCGGTTGCCAACGACGTCGCTAACGCCGGCAGCGCTCTCCTGGCCAGCGTCAGCGAAGGGAACTACCCGACCCTCGCTACGCCGTCGGTGGTGTCGTTGAACGTCACGAACTCGGTGCCCAGGTCCGTCAACAGCGTAACTGTCATACAGCCTGCCACCAACAATAATGCCAGGTACGCTTCTTAAGCAGAAGCAAGGGTTCAATCTTAACACGCTGTACTTACTCCATTAGCGAGCATTAGTAGATGCTCCCGATAACTCTGAAAAAAGTACACCATACTCCGCCGACGCCCTTGCGCGTGCATCGTTTCGTTATCGGACTCGAAAAAAATATATTATAACTCCTTATATACACTGCAGGATGTCGCCGCGTGCGTGCACGCGGCTGCCACATCGAGGAACAGGGCTCGAACCCCGATCGGCCCGGTTCTTTTTCTAAAATTATTCTTTGCTATCCTAGAAAGTTCCAACCCATTCTCGGCTTTCATTGCGTGTTCTGCTTCATAACGCTCTTGAACACAGATAAAAGTGGCGGTAATGCGCTGTTTTTTATTTTTTATTTAACATACCGAAAGTTGCCCGGTTAGGGCATTAGATGAGGGCGGATACAAGATTTGATAAGACAACACACAACATGCAATAACACACTTATTACACACACACAAAAAAAGAATCGTATTCATCTAAAAAAATGAAGGCCTGTTGCCCTTCCTTCGTCGACGCAGGATGCTCGATACATTTTGCTTCAGTTTGCGTGCACTAGTTCACCTGAATGGACATTTATTTTAAGTTCTACACTTGTCTCCCTTTTTGTATTAGTGACAATGCAGTTAGCTAGAGCATAGATTTGCCCATATGTTGACGGAATAGGGAAAGTCCACAAGGAGGAGATTTACAGAAGAATGAATTGACTGGGGCTTGAGATAAAGTGCATGTTGCTTGGCTGGTGTGCCCCTGACAATATCAGCCCGGTCTGGGAAATTTTAAAGTCTATTGGTGCGCTCAACCAACTGAGCTAACTGCGAGTTAAGCAACAGTATAAAAAACAAAATGTTGTCTAGTCGCCAAAAGTCGTAATCTTACTCACCACAAGAGACCTCGAATCGTTTGATGTTCCGAATCTGGGGAAACTCATCAAAATGAATAAGATTTACGAAAGTATATACATTAACTTCTAGGGGATATAGAAATCATCTAACGCGATAAAACAACTGGTTTTATTAAAGTATTTATTTGTGTTGGCATCAAATAATTTCCGCATGACCTAGTCATTCTTTATATATATATATATATATATATATACAACGGGCATGGTGGCGGGAGGCCGAAGGCGTGAGTATATTACTGGGAAGAAAAAAAATCCTGGCTGACAACAGCAGTAAATAAATAAATCGTCCGTTGTTGCTGCTTTCACCGAGGGTTTTTTTCTTCCGAGGTATATATATATATATATATATATTTGCAGTCCGCTTAGACACTATACCCATGCCTATTCCGTTGAGGCATGATAGGCTATAAAACATTTTTAGGCGGTTTAATAAGGCTACACAACACCGAGTGCATCGCTCCAGTAAAAATGATCGGGCCCCAGCGTAAAAATATATATTTTACACCGGACCCAGATATATTCCCCTGCGGAATTTATGTATTCCTGCTAAAACACACACTTCTGTATCTGAAAGGTTCCTACTGTGTAGTTCCTCACACCACAAAAAAGTTCATCACACTGCGGACCTAAAATATTTCAAGAAATTGTAATTTATAGTTACTCGAAGCCTGTGCGTGGTTTATTATATTAATTTACACTTCCTACTTCGTGATTGGTTCTTATCAACTAATGCGGCATTCTCATTGGCTGTCGGGCGATAACGAGATTCAAAGGACTTGCAACACCGTGTGTTTCTGAAGCAGCTTTCTAGAACATCAATAGCGGCATACAAATATCTTCAAAGCACGGGCTGATGACCGCGTTTTTTTATGAGTAATTATGTTTAGTACATAATGTTTGACTTCCAGGAAATAAAATATCATGTTTTGTTTGTCTGCTAGGACGTGTAATTTAAAATTTGTAAAAAAAACAATATTTTCTTCGCTTGGTATGCGTAACATTACACTTAACAGCCTAAACTGTGTATGATATGTTCAGGAATGAAAAGTTAAGCTATTTGATATCGCGCATAACGGTAACACGGAAGTATGACCGGTAATCTGTTGGATGACGTTTCTTTTTTTTATTAATTCAAAAGCATTAACTGCTTCATGAAGCGAAGTCGGCGTTGTCTGTAACCGTCTATAGCAGCGAAACGGCAGTTAAATTCCCACTGTCCGAAAGCACAGCAACGCATATGCTTTGTCACGGAAGCCGGCCGGGCGCCCTAGGTCAAAGCGGATGTGCCTCAGCAATAAAACACAAAGAAAAGCACACCAGCGCAGATGCATCGTCACGGAAGCTGTGGAGCCGGTGGGGTTCACCGCGCCTGCGCAGTGAGGGAGCGTGATGTCACCGCATTACATAGGAATGCTTTTGCATTCCTACACACAGAGCATTCCTAAAAGCAGCGCGCGAGTATGAATGCATTCGCATTCTTACGCGTAAGCAGTCTTAAGTGTCTTTAGCGTACACATTTACTATGTTTAAACGACGTGAATATGTTCTGCTATTTACCCTTTTATTGCTGAAATATTGAAGTGAACAACATCCATTCATAATACTTAACATCAGTGATTAACATTCAGGTAATCATGTTTTTGTTGTTTTTTCACAGGACCGTCAAAACAGGACGTCGCCGACTTTTTCAGCGTAGCTTCACCCTTGGCCAGCTCTGGCAGAAGACGAACGTCCTTGACAAGGTGTCCAGGATTGGATTTCCAGCTGTGTTCTTTCTCTTTATGCTTGTTTACTGGTCGTATTATCTGCGCTGAACCATGTCAAATACTCTACCAAATGACCTATGTTGGATACGGACATATAATACGTTTACACTGGAGCTGAGACTGCAGCCATTGCCACAAACCTATGTTGGATACGGACCTATGTTGGATACCCATGTTGGATACGGACCTATGTTGGATATCCATGTGACCACGTATGGATACGGACCTATGTTGGATACCCATGTGGTCACATGGAACATAGGTCCGTATGGATACCCATACGGACCTATGTTGGATACCACAAACCTATGTTGGATACGGACCTATAATCCGTTTAAACTTGAGCTGAGACTGCAGCCATTGCCACAAACACAAGAGCTCGAGGTATCTGCTTTGAAGCGTTCTTCCGAAGAACATGCGCACATGCTAGAAATGCACGCCTCATAACCGAGAGCGCGGGATAGCTCGCGCTTGTAGCTTTGGCGACAGTCTCAGCTTAAGGCTGAACGACGTAAGTGTTACATCGAAACACACGCACATGCACACACACATTCACACAGATATTCACACACACACACAAGAAAATGCCACCAGTTAATGCAGGCAAAATATAAAGAAAACTAATATTCAAAACCTGCTGAGTACGTTTCTCTTTTTGGCTGGAGAAAATAGAATAAGAAGGCCTTATGGTTGATATAATTAATTTATCGAGGTCAAGATAGGTCGCTAGGAGTACAAGTCTGTACTCTCAGTACATTTACTCCACGGTCGCAGTTCTCCCTCAAACAGTGACAACACGAATCAGCCCTTAAAATTGCCATATAAAAATCTACATTTCGTTTTGCCATTGGTCAAAACGCAGTCAAAGGCTAGAGGACAAACGAACACAGACGCATATACTAAATGGGCAGGGTAATGACGAATTAATTGATTTAGATTAGGTCAACCAATGATAACGCACGAAAAGGAAGATGATAAACTCCGTGAGATTGAGATTTTGACGCTGATTTATTGGCTTTAATAACTTGAACCTTCAGCTGCGGCTTGACTTAACGCGAAACGAAGTGTAGCAAACTGCAAGAATTAGCCGAAAGATAAAACAAGTGATTAGACAACAGATAAGCATGGGTGAAGAACCTAATTGTTTCTGCCAAAACAATATTACAAAAAAAAAACAAAAAAACCTCACCGTAAAGAACAATAGTTCGCCATATATTCCTCTTCAAAGGGAGCATATCGCAGCAAGGCCAGATGACGCTTAGTTCTTTTTGAAGGAATGGTTGAGGTACAGCAAATCAAACGGTAAGAACATTTTAAGATTGATGCATGCAAAAGAAAAGTGCTCTGAAGGTTGGACATGATTGTAAACCTGAGACTGGAGCAGGAAGAGAACACAACAGAAGGTAGTAAAAGAGGACGCAACGTCTCAAACTGAGCTGGAAAGTTTATTTCGAACACACTTTATATACCCCATCTCCAACGTCGTCTCTACAAAAAGAAACAAAAAAAAATACAGATGACAAGAGGACAATGACACTTTGGTAAACCTTCACTTATCTCCCTTGACCTTGGCTGTGGGACACTCACACAAAGGGACACATTCTAGCATAACCACCGCCACCCGGCGAACGCAGGTGAAAATACTACTGAACACAAAGAAAGGGTCTGACCTTCAAAAGTGCGTTCCCTCTAACAAATCACTCAATCCAAAAAAAAACAATACTATACACTGCTACCAGCCGGAACTGGGGCCATCTCCAAAAATGAGAACGACATTGCTTGTTTTTTTGGAGTGAGTGATTTGTTAGAGGGAACGCACCTTTGAAGGTCAGACCCTTTCTTTGTGTTCAGTAGTGTTTTCACCTGCGTTCGCCGGGTGGCGGTGGTTATGCTAGAATGTGTCCCACAGCCAAGGTCAAGGGAGATAAGAGAAGGTTTACCGAAGTGCCATTGTCCTCCTGTCTTTTTTTTTTTTTTTTTTTTTTGTAGAGACTACGTTGGAGATGGGGTATATAAAGCGTGTTCGAAATAAACTTTCCAGCTGAGTTTGAGACGTTGCCTCCTCTTTTACTACCTTCTGTTGTGTTCTCTTCCTGCCCCAGTCTCAGGTTTACAATCATGTTCAACTTACACCAGCTCGCCTGCACTCTGACTATTTTTTCTGAAGGTTGGTTCGTTAAAATCGTCTTGTGACATAGGCCACAAAGTTTATGTTGAATCAACCTGGCAGAGAGGTATTGTAGCACGTGGCAATGCTGACAACAAGTATGCGATCACTGTTTATTTCTTTTTTAACTCTAAAATGCAATTAAAATTCTACTGTGATAAAAATCGAATGCGTGAAGCATGACATCCGTTGGGGAACTTGCTCCGGAATATACCTGGCGGTTTGAAACCTTCGAAAACATGACTTCTGTCCTGTTTCTCTCATTGAGCTTCAATACATTTGAAGGCGTGCAAAATTAGAAATGGCCGGAAAACAAAGTGGGCAAGAAGACGATTAATAGTGGCAAAAGTGTCGGGGCTGGTCTTGCGTGGAACTGATTGAATTAACTACCTCAGACAGCCTAACAGTACGAACGTTCGCAATTATTTTTGTTGATACTTTGTGGTGCATTTGTTTGTAAAATACCCGTAATCGCTCGTTTGAAATAATTGATGTATTGTAGATAATACTTGCCACTAATTTATTTGCGCCTTTTTGTACTTAATAAAATATAAATATACGCCGAGCATCCTGGGTCAGTAGAGCATTCGACGATCATGTTTTCGTTATGGGTTGTTTACTTATATTCTTTACTGTGTGAAATTTATATTGACATTGGTATCCTTAAGTTGCAACAAACTTTGCTTGTTGACGTGTATGATGTTTACCAAGTGGCAAGATTTTGTATAAAGTTGTGTATACGTACAAGAAACAAAGCGAAGGCATATGTTGAAATAAATACCGTGTGATTTTCGACCGGATTTTTTCTTTGCTTGTAAGTCATCACACTAATATTTTTCCAGCTCAAAGACATCGAACGCAGGTTTTTCTTCTAACGATTCACCTATTTATTAGTTAGGTTGTACGGCAAGGGGACATAATATAGATAAAATTGTTACGATAAGTCTTTTAAAGGCCTAACTACGTGTTAATTAACTTTTTATTTATATTTATTTAAATATTTCTAGAACTTACTCATTTAGTGGTTTCCTCTGACGCTCATCACTTTTTGATTTGAAACCACAAGTTTATTGTCACTAAATGAGAAGTTGATAATGAATACTTAGCTGATTATTCGATTCATCGGGAAAATTATCCCGCCCCATTATGTCCCCCTGCCTGCGTAACTCACCTGCACACAGAATCGGTATATAGCTTTCACGGCTTTCTTTAAACAAACATATAAAATCTAAAAGAAAAAAACAAAAACACCCCTTGTTTAATAGCTTTTTGGATGTTCTGGCACTCGTTTCTTATTTCCAAGGCTTAAAATATACGCTCCAATGTTTTGTGTGTTTTTAAGCGACATGTTATGTGAATTTTCGAATTTTCGGCGTTTTTCTTTTGTGTGTTTTTCGTGAGTGTATAAGTGAAATCGAAAAAGAATATGAAGTAATTATATTCAGTTTCTGCGTGGACATAATGTTTTCTTAAATATGGCGCTTATGCGTACCTGTTCAGACATAACTAAAATGTTTTAATTCAGAACTAAAAAAAGTAACGCAAAAGTAACGTGCGTTACGTTTTATCGATAACTGTAACGGTGAGGCGCTCCTTTTATTTTGAGGCAACTTAGGTCGGTAACGCGTTCCTTTTATTTGCAAGTAATGTATTTTGTTACTGTTTTCGGTAACGCTCAGAACACTGGTTGCATCCTGGGCCCTTGATGCAGTGTTGTACCCTGCAAACGTTAACCCCCTCCCCCCAAAAAAGAATAAAAAAAAGAAAGGTAGCAAACTAAATTTTTTTTATTTGCCAACAAAAGGAGCTCGTTTCCAACCTACGATACTTCAAAGGCGCTGTACAATTAGAACTACCGATAAAACAGAACGCACGTTACTTTTGCTTTACTTTTAATTTATGAGTTTTAACGTTTTACTGTTATCACGCTAGAGTTATGCATACACGAGACATTTTAAGAATCATTATGACCATGCAGAAACTGGTCATAGTTACAATATATATTTGTTTTTACGTTTCCACCTGACTACTTACGAAAAGGTATACGAACAAAAAGGCTCAATAAAAAGGCAAGCATTTTTATCACTTGGCACTAGAGACTTGAAAAAAATTTAAAATCTAATTTTTTAAGCCATGGGAAGAGGGAGAGAGAGGAAATTGTTATTGGTGCAACAGACACCTCGTCCGGTGCTCGAGGAGTGAATCTACAAACGTTCACCAAGCGCGTTGTAAACGCTCTAGATCAGGAGCGGCAGTAGGAAGCATTGGTTTGCTCTAGCCGGAAAAAAAAAATATTTATTTGTTTGTTTATGCTGCAAGCATTTGTATGTAAACGTCAAGGAAGAGAATGCATACATCAAGAATGACAAAATCAAAACGTACAATTTCAATACAGATAAACTAATTGACAAAGACACGTTTCAGCAGAGCGTCGTTAAACATGGTCAGTGGTTCTGAATTGAGAACACTTTTTGGGAGATCATTCCATTCGCCTATTGTGTCCAGGAAGAAGGGCGATTTAAACTGTATGGTAATAAAAACCCGAGACTCAGGAGTACAGAAGTGAACGAACACAGTACGGTTCTGCACAATGGTCTTATGACTGCTAGTTTGTGTTGATTACGTGTAGACTTAGCTTCGTTTATTGCAGAATAGTCGTTCAAGCACAGTCCAAAATTACCATGAATAATATTATAAACTTAAGCCGATCCATTTTTCGTCGTGTCGCTAAATAACGCATTCCTGACAGGAGACAATAATTCGTGTGTTGAAAATATAAAACTGTAGCGATTGTACGCAAACTGTAACGCCTTTCCTTTGCATAGCCTCGAGCACATTAGAAGACAACTTGGTGCTTGGGATTTCATTTAACGTCAGCAATTTCTAGCAAAGGTCCAAGTATAGATCTATATGCCAACAACTTTGTCTCTGTCGGGTCGGCAGTTTTCGACATAGGGGTTGTCGCCGGATTTAAACAATGGTAACAATCTTGCGGTTTTCCACTCGTTTAGCACGTCACCTGTGGTAAGTCTACGAGAGTAAAGCGAGTGCATATATTTAGCCGACCATTCAGCACACCTAAGAAGAAACACATTCCGAATATTGTCAAGTCAGCAGCTCTTTCTAATGTCTCCATTAAGGAGGGCCGCAAAAACACCTCCCTCAGGACTGGTAATGTGCTGTATCGTTAAGGGAGAAGCCTCGTTACCCCGCAATGTCCCCTTGTTGGCCGCGAATATAAAAAGAGTAATTAAAAGCGTTACAAATACGTTGCTTCTTTCTTTTTGTAGTGCCGTTGCACAGTTTCATGCTCCCGAAAGTTGATTTCTTTCGTTTCAGAAACCTCCAGAACTTTTGGGGGTTGCTACGGAAATAGCCGTGAAAAGTGAAAGAAAACAATTCTAATTCTATTTTGCAGCTGAAGCCTTGAACTGCCTGCGCAGAACTGGTATGAAAGAAGTGTTCACATTACGAAGTGTGTGAACTTGACATAATTTTCATTTCAGATGAAAGATGTCACGGATGATCTATCAATTATATATTTTCACTTTTTCACTCGCATCGGAATGAACTTCTGGTTGCTGTCATCAAACGATACTTTAAACCACGACCACAAGTCATACGCGGTACTGCCAGCGATTTCAACATATCGTGAAGCTCGGGAAAGCTTTCTTCCAAAGTATCGATGATATCAACGTCGTTAACACGATTGAAGTTATGGAACTTGTTTAAGTCAACAGCGTCCATTTGGTGACAAGCAAGCGAGAGAGTGCAAGCAACAAGAGTGTGCGCGGAGATTTGTATTTGTCTTTTGTCTCCTTTGTTCCCCTTCTCCAGAAATTATTATTGTCATCAAAAGGGAGTAGTCGGGAACACCTTCAACAATTCCGCAGTTGCTACCTTGTTGCGGGATCTTAGGTGAAACAAAGACAAAAAAGCTCAAAGCCTAGGAGGCCTAGGAGCGGCAGTTAAAGGCCGACGACCAGTTCACGCTTTCCACTTTTTTCTCGCTTCCTCCTCTCCCCCTTCTACCCTTTCCACCGTTGGCTGCTTCCTCCTCTCCCATGGAAAGGAGGATCTTCTGCCTTGCAGAATCTCGAGTCTGGTCGTCGGCCTTTAACTGAGCCCGTTTCCACAGAAGGCTGGGACTTGCGCCGAGGTTGAGTCACAGGGTAGCCATCGGGGTTTATAACCGGAGCTGTCTGGCC